CACTGGCCAGGGAGGTATACCATCTTTTAGGAGTGAAGAAGAGCAGGATGTGAGTGTGGGGGAGGTGTGTGAAGCATTACGTAGAATGAAAGGGGGTAAAGCAGCTGGAACTGACAGGATTATGACAGAAATGTTAAAGGCAGGGGGGGGGACATAGTGTTGGAGTGGTTGGTATTTTTGTTTAATAAATATATGAAAAAGGGGAGGGTACCTAGGGATTGGCGGAGAGCATGTATAGTCCCTTTATATAAAGGGAAGGGGACAAAAGAGATTGTAAAAATTATAGAGGAATAAGTTTATTGAGTATACCAGGAAAAGTGTACGGTAGGGTTATTACTGAAAGAATTAGAGGTAAGACAGAATGTAGAATTGCGGATGAGCAAGGAGGTTTCAGAGTGAGTAGGGGATGTGTTGATCAAGTGTTTACATTGAAGCATATATGTGAACAGTATTTAGATAAAGGTAGGGAAGTTTTTATTGCATTTATGGATTTAGAAAAGGCATATGATAGAGTGGATAGGGAAGCAATATGGCAGATGTTGCAAGTATATGGAATAGGTGGTAAGTTACTAAATGCTGTAAAGAGTTTTTATGAGGATAGTGAGGCTCAGGTTAGGGTGTGTAGAAGAGAGGGAAACTATTTCCCGGTAAAAGTAGGTCTTAGACAGGGATGTGTAATGTCACCATGGTTGTTTAATATATTTATAGATGGAGTTGTAAAAGAAGTAAATGCTAGGGTGTTTGGGAAAGGGGTGGGATTAAATTATGGGGAATTAAATACAAAATGGCAAGTGACACAGTTACTTTTTGCTGATGATACTGTGCTTATGGGAGATTCTAAAGAAAAATTGCAAAGGTTAGTGGACAAATTTGGGAGTGTGTGTAAAGGTAGAAAGTTGAAAGTGAACATAGAAAAGAGTAAGGTGATGAGATTATCAAATGATTTAGATAAAGAAAAATTGGTTATCAAATTGGGGAGGAGGAGTATGGAAGAAGTGAATGTTTTCAGATATTGGGAGTTGACGTTTCAGCGGATGGATTTATGAAGGATGAGGTTAATCATAGAATTGATGAAGGAAAAAAGGTGAGTGGTGCATTGAGGTATATATGGAGACAAAAAATGTTATCTATGGAGGCTAAGAAGGGAATGTATGAAAGTATAGTAGTACACCTACCATCCGACTTACGACCAAGCTTGGTTCCGACCAAAATGGATGTAAGTCGAACCTTTGAAAATTGCCAACATACTGGGTAGGGCATAATGTCAAACTTTTCCTATATAAACTACCTACAAAGTACTGTAATGTAATGTACAATCATTATTTAATTTTTTTTACCATAATTTACTTTTATTGTTATATTTTAATTATTTATTTACTGTATATAATGTATACATGGTAGTGAACTGTATTGTAAATTTTACATCGCATACAGTATCATATGTTACTGTTATCTTTATGTATTGTCGACACAGTGGAATGGGAGAATACCACTGGTAGTGTCATCCTGCCAGAATGTAGTATAACCTATACCCTAAGTAAAGAGAAACAACTCTGGAACATGTGTAATACGTAGCTGGCTGGCTGGCTGGCCGGGTGGGTGGGTGGGAGGGAGGCTGGGTGGGTGATTGGCTGACTGAATGTGGCTCTTTCTCTCTCTCTCTCTGTATCTCTCTCTGTATCTCTCTCTCTGTATCTCTCTCTCTGTATCTCTCTCTCTGTATCTCTCTCTCTCTGTATCTCTCTCTCTCTCTCTCTGTATCTCTCTCTCTCTCTCTCTGTATCTCTCTCTCTCTCTGTATCTATCTCTCTCTCTCTCTGTATCTCTCTCTCTGTATCTCTCTCTCTGTATCTCTCTCTCTCTATCTCTCTCTCTCTCTCTCTGTATCTCTCTCTCTGTATCTCTCTCTCTCTGTATCTCTCTCTCTCTCTCTGTATCTCTCTCTCTCTGTATCTCTCTCTCTCTCTGTATCTCTCTCTCTCTCTCTCTGTATCTCTCTCTCTCTCTCTGTATCTCTCTCTCTCTCTGTATCTCTCTCTCTCTCTGTTGTTAGGTAAGACACATATGCAACAGTTAGGTATCTTTATTTCGAAACGTTTCGCCTACACAGTAGGCTTCTTCAGTCGAGTACAGGAAAGTTGATAGAAGCAGAAGAGACTTGAAGACGATGTAATCAGTCCATCACCCTTAAAGTTTTGAGGTGGTCAGTCCCTCAGTCTGGAGAAGAGCATTGTTCCGTAGTCTGAAACAATATGGAGTTGAAGTGACAGGATGGAGCCTTATATAGCGCCAGGAGGTGAGACGTAGGTCACTAGTAGAACGCAGATGTTGGGAGGTCAGGTCCCTCTCAAATCCAGCCGTTCTCACTAGTAGAGGTTGTCGAAGTTGATTTCAGGTCTGTACCAAGATACCCTTGTGTTGCAGTGTCTGACAGATTGAACATTAAAATTGTATAAAATCTCTCTCTCTCTCTCTGTATCTCTCTTTCTCTCTCTATCTCTCTCTCTCTCTATCTCTCTCTCTCTCACAGGTACACGTAAGTAAAGTTATCATACATAGTATAAATTACCTAGGATAACCCAAATAATCCAGACAAAATGCTATACAGTGGATCTCTCCAGTGCCCTAAATACAGACAGGTTTATGCGCAACAGTGAAAACATATAAGAGAGTTCGAGAGTAAGAGCCTTTCTTGCCACAATCTCCAGTGCAAGATTCAGACTTCATCTTAGGGGCCATGGTGAAATTTACTGTCCAGTTAGTACAGTCAATACAGTATGATGCTGCTGATAGGACAGGGTTACTCAAACTGATGCTGCCTGCATGATGCATTGCCGCCGCAAGTATTGTCAAATATTGTACAGTGGTGTGCATCAGCCGGCCCAGCCCAGCTGCCAGATGCACGGTCGTAAGTCAAGTGGACGTATGTTGAGCAGGTCGTAAGTCGGATGGTAGGTGTACCAACACTCTTATATGGGTGTGAAGCTTGGGTTGTAAATGCTGCAGCGAGGAGGCGGTTGGAGGCAGTGGAGATGTCCTGTCTAAGGGCAATGTGTGGTGTAAATATTATGCAGAAAATTTGGAGTGTGGAAATTAGGAGGAGGTGTGCATTTAATAAAAGAATTAGTCAGAGGGCTGAAGAGGTTTTTTGAGGTGGTTTGTCTTTTAAAGAGAGAGAATGGATCAAATTTAGAATGCCAGGGAGAGCGTTTTTAAATCTGTATGGAAAGGAAGGGGGGGGTGGGGGTAGCCTGGGAAAAAGGTTGGAGGGGGGGGGAAAAGGAGGTTTGTGGCGGGGGTTTTTTTGGACTTCCGCAAGTGTGCTTGAGCGTGTTAGAAAAGGGGAGTGAATGGAGACAAATTTGGTTTTTTGGACCTAAAGACTGTTGGAGTGTGGGCAGGGAAAATATTAGGGGAAGGATTCGGGGAAAACCGGGTTTTTTAATAACCAGACTTGAACCCGGGAAAGGGGAAGTACAATCCCTGCAGTCTAAAAGGGGGGGTTTTGGATATTGGCAGTTTGGAGGGAAATAATGTGTATTTTGTTTACGAAATATATTTTCTAAATGTTGAATTCGGGGCACCTTTCCCAAAAACATAAATTAGGGTGTGAGTGGGGTTGAAAGTGCGGGAATGATGATGAAAAAATTTTTTTTTGGGGTTTTTTCTTTTTTTTTGGGTCACCCTGCCTGGGTGGGAGACCCCCAAATTTAAAAAAAAAAAAAAAATTTTCACATCAAAATATTCGCGAACACTACATTACAGAATTTTTATTACCTAAAACTTTTTGTGCCCCAAACTTCCGAATTTGAAGATTTTTTGAGGTTTTGATCCCTAACCCCACGAATGTGGGGGGCCCCCTGTAGTCTGAGAATGATTTGGGGGAGGCGGATCCATCCTTTAGTTTTAAGAAGGGGTTTAAAAATAAAGCTAATAGAGCAGAAGGACCTAAAAGTGCCCAGTAAAAAAGGGGGGGGTTTTCAGAAGCTGTGACTTGACCCGCAACCAAAAATAGTTTAGTATGTACAGTTTAAAGAAAGCACTTTCACACCGTACATACACGAGGCGGGAATGGCACCCCACACACACACAACACACACACACACACACACACACAACACAACACACACACAAAACACCCCACAACCCAATAAAAAGGGGCCCTAGAAATTATTCTACTTTAAATTCACTGAATTTGGGACTTATCAAAACCCTGTGCATATTTTTTTTTTTCATAAAAACCTGGCCACCCCACCAAGGCTGGTTAAACCTAAAAAAAAAAACTAAAGTTTCTTTTTAAAAAATTTTAGAAAAATTGTTATTTTTAACGTGCTGCATAATTATTTAATAAAAAAAATTTTTTCCATGTTCATAATTAAGATGCATTTTTCCCCCAACTTTTTCACGGGGGCCAAAGGCCTTGGCCTTCATGAAAAAAGTCCCAAAATTCAAATTATGGCTCAATATTTAGTAGTACAGTGGTACCTTGAGTTACGAGCACTCCCAAATTGAACAAATTTTGTAATTTTATTTTTGTAATTTCTTTTGTAAGTGTATTTTTGGGGGGCTGAAACGGGGTTTTTCTAAATTTTTTTTATTTCTAAGGGGAACAAAATTTGTTTTTTGGGAATTTCACTTAACCGCTTTCTGGAACGAAAATTTAACCGTAAAATCAAGGGGCCAAATGTTATTTTGCATTTGTAGTATATGCTTACGGGCAGTGATGATGCACAAATTTTAAAAAGAGGGTTTTAAAAAAAAAATTTTAACTTGGGATATAGGCCCCCCAAAATTTTTAAAAACACTTTCAAACCCTTCCAAAAAACAAGGCACACAGCACGCTGGAGGTGAAACAGAACCCTTTCTGCAAAAATCAAAAAGGGTTATGTTTGAGGGCTGCAAATTTCATTTAAAAATTTTTTTTTTTTTTTAACAGTCAGCCGCCCCACCGAGGCGGGGGGACCATTATTCACTAAAATTTAATTAAAAAAAAGAAAACCTTACCAGAAAATCCCCTGGGTGGGAAAACTGCACAGTCTTTTATATCTGCCATGGTTAGCAGGCTGAAAAAAAATCAATTTTATTTTTAGCTTTAATTTCTTTGGAAAATTACAGAAAAGTTTTTTTTATAAAAAAACAAATTATTTTCAATTTTTTAATTCATTAGGGTTTATTCAAATTTTTTTTCCAAACGACAAAAGGGGCTGTTGATTTTAAAAATGGATATTTTTGCATTTTTCCCGCTATAAATTGGTCTCTGCTGACCAATTTATATCACATTGGGTTTCTACAAAGACTCCACACCAATGGAATTTCTCCCCCCATTTTTAAATGAAAATGTGAAAGATATAGGGCCCTACAAAAAGTGTGTCTTTTGGCTCAACCCACATTTAGTTGGATTTTAAAAACCAAAAAAATTTTTGAAATCCCCTTTTTTTTTAACACTAAATTTTCCCCCCATGGGGGCATGACTCAAAAAAGAAGTTTTTATTTTTTTTTTAATTTAGTAATTTATACAGGAGAATGGGTTACAAGCACCTTGCTCACAGCATTTTAGTTGCCTCTTACGACATTCATGGCTTACGGAGAAAGGATTCTTCTCCATTTCCCTATGGAGTTTATGACCCCTTCTGATGGTGTAAATACTATTCACAACACATTCATTTCTAATTCCAAGGACAGTTATAAAATATCCAATCCAGGGAGCAATGAGCAAAAAAAAAAAAAATGAGTGTCAAAATTGGAATCTCTTGTAATACAAAGGAATTTTTCCAGAAGATCTGACTAGAAAAATAATTAACCCTTTGGGCGTTTCGGACGTACTAGTACGTCTTACGACCCAGGGTTTTTGACGTACTAGTACGCCTAAATTCTAGCGCCCTCAAATCTAGTGAGAGAAAGCTGGTAGGCCTACATATGAAAGAATGGGTCTATGTGGTCAGTATGCGCAGTATAAAAAAAATCCTGCAGCACACAGTGCGTAATGAGAAAAAAAAAACTTTGACCGTGTTTTTGGATTAAAACAGTGACTTTGCACTGTACAGTGAACCCCCGGTTAACGATGTTTTTTCATTCCAGAAGTATGTTCAGGTGCCGAATTTGTTCCCATAAGGAATATTGTGAAGTAGATTAGTCCATTTCAGACCCCCAAACATACACGTACAAACGCACTTACATAAATACACTTACATAATTGGTCGCATTGGGAGGTGATCGTTAAGCAGGGGTCCACTGTATTTTCATATGGTATTTATTGTTGTATTCTAGTTTTCTTGGTCTCATTTTATAGAATGGAAGACATATTACAGAAATTGAGATGATTTTGACTGGTTTTACAATGAAAAGTACCTTGAAATTGAGCTCAAAATAGCAGAAATGTTCGATTTTTACCAAAGCTCAAAAGTAAACAAATCATGCCAAGCGTCCAATACACATCAACTGGTGAGTCTAATATTCTTTCACAAGTGTGCTGATATTATTTATACCATTTCTACACTAATGCAGTAGTCTGCATAACAGTAAATCTTATTTTTTTTGTAAGAATAAAAATTCAAAGCTGAAAGCCAAAGAAATATAAGAGAGGCCTGGGGATGTGACTAACGAACAGAGAACTTGTTATTTTAGTGCCAGGAATGTCTGTCTTGTTTATTCTGGACCCTATTCGGAAATTGGCATCTTCTGAAATTTGTGTGAAATTGGCAAAATTGCTAAATTCTGACCACTTTATTGGATAGTTGAAATCGGTAAATGGGTGGTTTCTTGTACTCATTCGATAGAAAAAATGGAGTTCTAGCGAAATAGTTATGATTTTTGTCAACTAGTACACTTGAATTGGCCGAAAATAGGGCTCAAAGTGGGCAAAATCGCCAATGAGTAAACATCATCGAGACCGCTAACTTCGCGAGAGCATAATTCCCTAAGTTTTCCATCAAATTTCATACTTTTGTGTCATTATGATCGGGAAAAGATTCTCTATCTTTTCATAAGAAAAAATAATTTTTTTTTTTTTGAAATTTGGCCAACCCTGAGAACAAGTCTCTGAGAGGACCTGTTGACCCCAAAAGGGTTAAAACTGCTATTTTTTTAACTGAGAAATCCTACCTTTTTTTGTTTTTGCTTACTGCTTTCCTTCACTCTTACTTTCAAAGGCTTGAGAAACATTTTTGTTAAATAAGCAGAACTTAAGAACAGGCAGACAATCCTCTATATTTCTTTAGCAAAGTTAGCAGTAGTACAAGGTCTATACCTGTCCTGGTTAGACAATCATTTCACTAATGGATAAAGTGCATTTGTACACATCACAAAATACTTCTTTAAATTTGAAATATGTCTTAAAAGGTTGAAGTTAAACATAATTTATTCACAAATTAAAAAATATGAATGATGAAACTAAGAAATTATTAAAGATGGTCAAACATGATTTATTACTTTGTAAAGGCAACAAAATTCCCACGAAAACTTTGAAAAGAATAAAAATTACAGGACAATGCTGCAGCCAAAATACAATAACTGTCTACATCCTTTTTTTTTTTTTTTTTTTTTAACAAGTCGGCCTGTTAACACTCCAACAGATCGTCAGGTACCAAATACCATTTGTCTCCATTCACTCCTATCGAACACACTCATGCACGCCTGCTGGAAGTCCAAGCCCCTCACCCACAAAACCTCCCTTACCCCTTCCTTCCAACCTTTTCGAGGACGACCCCTACCCCGCCTTCCTTACAATACAGATTTATACGCTCTCCATGTCATTCTACTTTGATCCATTCTCTCTAAATGACCAAACCACCTCAACAATCCCTCTTCAGCCCTCTGACTAATACTTTTATTAACTCCACACCTCCTAATTTCCACACTCCGAAATTTTTGCATATTTACACCACACATTCCCCTTAGACAGGACATCTCCACTGCCTCCAACCGCCTCCTCACTGGTGCATTCACAACCCAAGCTTCACACCCATATAAGAGTGTTGGTACTACTATACTTTCAAACATTACCTTCTTAGCCTCCATAGATAACGTTTTTTGTCTCCACATATACCTGAACGCACCACTCACCTTTTTTCCCTCATCAATTCTACGATTAACCTCATCCTTCATAAATCCATCCACCAACACGTCAACTCCCAAGTATCTGAAAACATTCACTTCTTCCATACTCCTCCTCCCCAATTTGATATCCAGTTTTTCTTTATCTAAATCATTTGATACCCTCATCACCTTACTCTTTTCTATGTTCACTTTCAACTTTCTACCTTTACACACTCTCCCAAACTCATCCACTAACCTTTGCAATTTTTCTTTAGAATCTCCCATAAGCATATTATCGTCAGCAAAAAGCAACTGTGTCAATTCTCATTTTGTATTTAATTCCCCATAATTTAATCCCACCCCTCTCCTGAACACCCTAGCATTTACTTCTTTTACAACCCCATCTATAAATATATTAAAAAACCATTGTGACATTACACATCCCTGTCTAAGACCTACTTTTACTGGGAAGTAGTCTCCCTCTCTTCTACACACCCTAACCTGAGCCTCACTATCCTCATAAAAACTCTTTACAGCATTTAGTAACTTACCACCTATTCCATATACTTGCAACATCTGCCACATTGCTCCCCTATCCACTCTATCATATGCCTTTTCTAAATCCATAAATGCAATAAAAATTTCCCTACCTTTATCTAAATACTGTTCACATATATGCTTCAATGTAAATACTTGATCTACACATCCCCTACCCACTCTAAAACCTCCTTGCTCATCCGCAATCCTACATTCTGTCTTACCTCTAATTCTTTCAATTATAACCCTACCATACACTTTTCCTGGTATACTCAGTAAACCTATTCCTCTCTAATTTTTACAATCTCTTTTGTCCCCTTCCCTTTATATAAAGGGACTATACATGCTCTCTGCCAATCCCTAGGTACCTTCCCCTCTTTTGTACATTTATTAAACAAAAATACCAACCACTCCAACACTATATCTCCCCCTGCTTTTAACATTTCTGTCATGATCCCGTCAGTTCCAGCTGCTTTACCCCCTTTCATTCTACGTAATGCCTCACGCATCTCTCCCACACTCACATCCTGTTCTTCTTCACTCCTAAAAGACGGTATACCTCCCTGGCCAGTGCATGAAATTACCGCTTCCCTTTCTTCGTCGACATTTAAAAGTTCCTCAAAATATTCTCGCCATCTACTCAAAACCTCCATCTCCCCATCTACTAACTCCTCTACTCTGTTTTTAACTGACAAATCCATTCGTTCTCTAGGCTTTCTTAACTTGTTTAACTCACTCCAAAATTTTTTCTTTTTTATTTTATTTTTAATCACACTGGCCAATTCCCACCAAGGCAGGGTGGCCCAAAAAAGAAAAACTTTCACCATCATTCACTCCATCACTGTCTTGCCAGAAGGGTGCTTTACACTACAGCTTTTAAACTGCAACATTAACACCCCTCCTTCAGAGTGCAGGCACTGTACTTCCCATCTCCAGGACTCAAGTCTGGCCTGCTGGTTTCCCTGAACCCCTTCATAAATGTTACTTTGCTCACACTCCAACAGCACGTGAAGTATTAAAAACCATTTGTCTCCATTCACTCCTATCAAACATGCTCACGCATGCCTGCTGGAAGTCCAAGCCCCTCGCACACAAAACCTCCTTTACCCCCTCCCTCCAACCTTTCCTAAGCCGACCCCTACCCCACCTTCCTTCCACTACAGACTGATACACTCTTGAAGTCACTCTGTTTCGCTCCATTCTCTCTACATGTCCGAACCACCTCAACAACCCTTCCTCAGCCCTCTTGTGGCATGCAAAGAGTACGTAACCTTTATTCGGCGCATGTACACACCCTCATTTACAGGCTATCTCCCCCAACCAGCGAACCAGGTTGCTAAGAGTTGATGATGGGGCCCCGTCGTTAAACTAGTGACCAGTTTCTAGCCAATAAGAAGATGGGTTTGGCAATCGCAGAGGTTATGTGGGTACCGCTCTCCTGTCTGCCCTTGTCATTCCCATTCTAGAGCTGGTTGAAGCACGGTCTGCTATCTTGTGGCTTTTATTTCTGCCTTGCTTACCGTGGAGTGCACTATACTTATCACTGTACATAGTGAATATTGTGTTCTAAATTGGTGAAGGATAATAAGTCTAAATTTTTTCTGCTGTGTTTTTTTTTGCTCCCATTACACCCGGGATAACAGGCCATTTGGATTCCTGGGTTGTAATATGGGTAGCCTGTCCGAGAGCTGGAGCTGGACTTAAAGAAACGGTTGAGCTTAGGGTGAAGCTCGTAGCAGGAACATTGTGCAGCTTGTTTGTTTTGGCTTTGCTTTAGCTTTGCCTACGCTTTACAAATTTGCATGTCAGTTGCTTTAATGTCACCCTTGCTATTGTGTGATTGTTCAACAGCTCGCTACTAGCTTGTTCGGTGTGCTCGCTTCGCTACGGTCAATCTTCTAGAACAGTGTAGCTGTCTGGCATTGCTTTACAAATTTTGCGTGTCAGTTGTTACTAGCCTGTTCAGTGTGGAGAATTTTGCAGTCAGCTTTGCTTGTATGCGTATTCTGCAATCGTACTGTGCATAGCTAAGCGTGTTCTGCAAATTAACGTGTTACGTTGGGGTATTCTGCAATCGTACTTATGCCACCTAGACGAGTCAGACGTCTGGTGTCGGCATATACTTTGCATAACCTACCTAAATTGTCCCTACAGCGTTGTTGGCAAATTGCTCGTTCCATTGACATTAAATACAGACGCACTCTCACAGCTGCGCAACTGCGTTCACTGATTGCTGACAAACTTATAGAAGAAGAGATGACACATCAGACTCCTCCCTCTACGGGAGCTAGGGCAAAAACTCCTATGTTCTCACACGAGGAAGATGATACACCTACGGAGCAAAATGGTCAGTATAGTGCAGCTGGGTTGTCTCAAGGTGAACCCAGCGTCGTTGGCACTTGAGGCTGGCAAAAATCAATCTTGAGCAAACTGGGAACAGAGAGCTTTCGCAAGGGAAGAATTGATAGGGGAAAGAGAAAGGAGGCAGTTTTCGCATTCTGTAAATGATTTTAGTCTACAAAAAGCAGTACAGCTTGTTCCCGCTTCAATGAGGCCGAACCAGAGAAATTTTTTTCGAAAGCTTCGAAAATCAGGCTCGAGCCTTGAGGGGGCCCGGGGGAACCAGCATTGGCATCGTTGGTTCATACAGCATTTTTGGGGGTAAGGCACAGGAATTTACGTCAGTATTAAATGACGCTGAATTTTCTGATTATCAAGTAGTGAAGACCACAGTTTTTGGGAGCATATATGTGTATCCCCGCCAAATATAAAAAAAATTTTAAGCTGGGCAGACGACAGCTTGGTCAATCCCTAGTGGACTTTGTGAGACAGCAAACCAAAGCTTTACCCCGCTGGGTATAAAGCAAGTGGTGTCTCTACCTTTTAGGAAAACTGGTGCAGCTTATTTGATTGATAACCTGCTGGAGTCTGTGGGACCAGGGTTTTTTCGAGTCTTTCTGCAGGATCGTGACTTAACCACTGCATTGGAGGCAGCCAGGTTGGCTGATACCTTTGAAACTAACCGCTCCTTTTCCGAGCGGTTCCGTCTCTCTTTTCAACAGCCTGGCATGAGCGAGATCATCAACCTTGGAGAATGAAGTGCAGCCGGAGGGAGAACGTCTACGTCAGCCCAAATAAGCCACGCTTTCAACATTTTGGTCCACCTGCGGAAGGCAAACAACTCTGGTGCATCCGACAACAGTATCCAGAGAGACACCAGCCAGAACACACCATTTTTCAACGTCAGCAGGAAGTAAAGGGCAAGCCTGTCGTCTGCTTCCTCTGCAACAAAATAGGTCCATCCGTCCCAATGCCCCATAAACCCAACCATTGGGAAAAAACTCTAATATCCTAGTAATGTCCCTAGAGAAGTAGAAAAAGGTATGGCCCCTTATTATTGCAAGAGTCTAATTTCCCTTCAGGGGAAAAATCAAAAAACAACTGAAGTAAAAAACCTTTAGGATACTGGAGCATATTGCTCACTTGTAAGAGAAGAATATTACCCCATTCAGAGAACACTTCCTTGAATTCCTCTGTTTATTAGAAGCATTTGGAGGAGCTATATATTTTTGTCCCTTTGCATAAAATTTATGTACAGTGCAAATATTACACTGGGTACTTGACTGTAGGTGTCTCAAAAGGATTCCCCCTGAAAGATGCCTGTTATTACTGGGTAATAACATTACTACTGTTAGTTCGTGTCCTGAACCTATAATGATTAATTCTTCTCCGGTGTTGGCCATAACTCGGGCAACATCCCAAGGGTTGCCTGGAGGGAATGTTGACCTATCCTTGGACGACTCCGATCTCGGAATAGCCACATTGTTTTACGAGGAAAACTGGCCAGAGCCTCGTAGATCAGTGAACAGACCCCGATCAAGCCTTCCTATTCCAAGGTTGCAGGATTGCCAAACCCATCTTCTTATTGGCTAGAACCTGGTCACTAGTTGAACGACGGGGCCCCATCATCAACTCTTAGCAACCTGGTTCGCTGGTTGGGGGAGATAGCCTGTAAATAAGGGTGTGTACATGCGCCGAATAAAGGTTACTACTCTTTGCATGCCCACCCGGACAACGTTTGGTAATCCCGCACCTCCCCCCTAATTTCCCAAACTACGAATTTTCTGCATTTTCCACCACACTTGCCCCGGGGACATGACATCCCCCACTCCCCTCCGGGCCTTTCCCCTCACTGAAACTTTCTACCCATCTAAAACCCAATAAGAGCTTTGGGTAAAACTATATCTCATACACCCCCTCTTTGCCTCCAAGGACAAATTCTTTGTCCCCACAGACCCTAAGTGCCCCCTCACCCTTTTTCCCCCTAAACAATCTATGATTCACCCATTTTCATAGACCATCCCCCCCAAAATATCTAATACATTCACCTCCCCATACTCTCTCTCCCCAATCTGATACCCAAAATCTTTCATCACCTAATCTTTTTGTTTTCCTCAAACCTTTACTCTTTCCTGTTTTCATTTTAATTTTCTTTTTTTTGCACACCCACCAAATTCTCCCCCAATCCTCAACTTCTTTTCGAATCCCCCCAAGAGCACAGTGTCTCAGAAAAGAGCAACTGTGACAATTCCATTTTATTGGTTATTTTTTATTTTTTAATCCACGCCTTTCCCAAGACCCTTCAATTTACTTCTCTTAAAACCCCCCTATAAAATATTAAAAAACCATGGGGACTCACACATCCTTGTTTAAGGCCCACTTTATGGGAAAAAATTTCCCCCTTCCAATACTCAAAATTTAGCCTACTTCCTCGTAAAAACTCTTCACTCTTTCAGTAACCTACCTCCTGCACCATACATTAAAATTTCTTGACAGTCCTCTCTCACTCTATCATCTGCTCTCCTTTTGCACTCTCTCACCACTCTCTTCACCTTTCTTTTACTCTCCATATACTCTACTCTTCTTATAACACTTCTGGTTTGTAAAAACCTCTCATAAGCTAACTTTTTTATTACACCCTTTACTTCATCATTCCACCAATCACTCCTCTTTCCTCTTGTTCTCACCCTCCTATAACCACAAACTTCTACCCCACATTCTAATACTGCATTTTTAAAACTATTCCAACCCTCTACAACCCCCCCCCCCACTACTCATACTTGCACCAGCCCACCTTTCTGCAAATAGTTTATATCTCACCCAAACTTCCTCCTCCCTTAGTTTATACACTTTCACCTCCCTCTTGCTTGTTGTTGCCATTTTCCTCTTTTCCCATCTACCTCTTACTCTAACTGTAGCTACAACTAAATAATGATCCAATATATCAGTTGCCCCTCTATAAACGTGTACATCCTGGAGCCTACCCATCAACCTTTAATCCACCAATACATAATTTAACAAACTACTTTCATTACGTGCTATATCATACCTTGTATATTTATTTATCCTCTTCTTCATAAAATATGTATTACTTATTACCAAACCTCTTTCTACACATAGCTCAATTAAAGGCTCCCCATTTTCATTTACCCCTGGCACCCCAAATTTACCTACTACTCCCTCCACAACATTTTTGCCCACTTTAGCACTGAAATCCCCAACCACCATTACTCTCACACTTATCATTAATTTTTATCATTAAAAATTAAAATTCTGGTCAAGGACATTATAAATCATACTAGAAAAATAAATTCTGACAGTATTATTATTATACTTCAGAAGCATTAAAACTTCACAGGTGATGCAGTGATTAGGGAATGGGAGGTATTTTGGTTTGATCCAAGGAAGAGGAGGGTCTGCAATTTTGATATCAAAAGCCCTTCAGGGGTCCTGGTCTCAGACCAGGTAACAGGGGCATTGACCCCCCTAAACCCTCTCCAGGTATACCATCACCAAGGCTCTGCCATCTAAGAAAAGTCATGATATAACATACCTGAGAATACTGTCCAAACATTGGTAATCTTGGCTGCATCTGCTGCAAATTTTGAAGTATCTCCATCTTTGCTGAGAGTTCAGCTGCTGCTGCTCGCATACCACCACCACCTCTGCTTGCATTCCAGTTACCGCTTCTTCCTCCCGTTTCATCTCCTCTACTTTGACCTCCCTGATTCCTGTCATAATTATTTTGATTTCCTTGCCTATTCCCAAACTGATCATATCTGATAGCGTTATACTGGTTGCTGCTACTTCTATTAGGTTCTCTGTAACCACTACTGTTATCCCTATAGTTGCTGCCATCACCTCTGAAATCAGCATAATTTCCTCCATCACTCCTGTGGCCAGTCATATTTCCTTCCCCAAACTTGTAATTATTGCTATTACTGCTATCACCCCTATAATTACTGCTGTTGCTCCCATCACTTTTATAACTACTTACAACATTGCCTCTACCACCTCTGTAACCACTGCTGTTACTTCCATCATTTCGGTAAGTAGTATTTCCATCGCCACCAGCACGGCTACCACTAGATCCATAGTTAATAATTCCCCCTTTATTATTACCTCCCTCCCTATAGCCCCCACCACCTCGCCCTCCTCTCCTGCCCCCTCGATCACTCCGATTATTCCAGTCCTGAGAGGTGCCACCCCCATTATCTCGTCTGCCACTATTATCTCTACTTCCGATGTCCCTAGAATAACTCCCATATCCTCTCTGTGCCCCTTCTTTCCCATAGGCATGATGGCCACTGTAGTTATTACTGTAAGAATTAGACTGATGTTCTCTTCCTGTAGCAGTAACAGTACGGGATGCTGGTGTTCTTGGCATATTTTCTTGGTCTTCCTTCTCTTCCATTAATTCCTTGCTTTCAAGATATGTTCGGTTACTTGTAGCTACTAATTTTTCTTCTCCTGGAGCTGGCCAGTTCTCAAGTGTAAGGTTAGGAGGTGTAATGCTGAAAAAATATAAAATTACAAATAAGTATTTCATATTTGTCACATACATGAAAAGCAGTACAGTACAATACATGCATAAAATTTCCTATAAAATTTTGGTTGCCAACAATGGTATCTAAACATTGAAAAGAGGTGCTCACCCCATATCTAAATGCTACTGAAATTTAAAGGGTTCATTACCAATTCAAACCAAGTAATACTGTCATTGTCTCTTAGTCAGGTAAAATGCTTATCATTATGAAAGAAAACATTAATATAGGAGGGCCCCGCATACTCGGTACCCACTTTTTGGCTTCTAAGTTTTCGTTGGCTTTCAACTGAGTCAATGTTCATTATGTACAGTGCTTTACTGCTATTTTCAAACAACAAATGAGTAAGCAAAACAAAGCTGACGGGGGTAGGCGAGTTTCAGTGGGGAGAAATAAATGGGATTAAGTTAGGAGTATCTGAGAGAGTTAGAGCTAAGGAAGGGGTAGCAATAATGTTGAAGGATCAATTTCTTCTTTCTTTCAACACACCGGCCGTATCCCACTGAGGTGGGGTGGCCCAGAAGAAAAAACGAAAGTTTCTCCTTTTAAATTTAGTAATATATACAGGAAGAAGGGGTTACTAGCCCCTTGCTCCCGGCATTTTAGTCGCCTCTTACGACACGCATAGCTTACGGAGGAAAAATTCTGTTCCACTTCCCCATGGAGATAAAAGGAAATAAACAAGAACAAGAACTAGAAAGAAAATAGAAGAAAACCCAGAGGGGTATGTATATATATGCTTGTACATGTATGTGCAGTGTGACCTAAGTGTAAGTAGAAGTAGCAAGATGCACCTGAAATCTTGCATGTTTATGAGACAGAAAAAAGACGCCAGCAATCCTACCATCATGTAAAACAATTACAGGTTTCCGTTTTACACTCACTTGGCAGGACGGTAGTACCTCCCTGGGCGGTTGCTGTCTACCAACCTACTACCTAGGGAAGGATCAATTATGGAAGGAAAAGAGGGTATATAAATGTATAAATTCAAGGATTATGTGGATTAAGAAAAGGGTTGGATGCAAAAAGTGGGTCATAATAAGTGCATATGCACCTGAAGAAGAGAGGAGTGTAGAGGAGAGAGAGAGAGAGATTTTGGGAGATGTTAAGCAGGTGTAAGAACTACTGAACCAAGTGAGAGAGTAATTGTGGCAGGGGACCTAAATACTAAAGTAGGAGAAATGTTTAGAGAGGGTGTGGTAGGTAAGTTTGGGGAGTCAGGTGTAAATGATAATGGGGGCCCTTTGAACTGTGATATAAATGTCACAGGTTTTTGCAGAAAATCATCAAAACAGTGCAGAATCTTTTTCTAAAGAAAATGATACCAAAATTGCAAAATTTGATGTGATACCTATGGAATTACACAGGTGCAAAGTTTGGAGATTAGAGAGCACCTTACACAACTGAAATTTCACCCAGGTTGAAGCTTATTTTAAGCCAGTTCAAATGCTCAAATCATGTATTTCTGGCTATTTTGCTAGTATGTCTTCTGTTCTATTGACTGAGCACAAAAAACTGCCCAAAATTCACTAATTTTGTCAATTTTACACAAAATTCAACAAACTGCAATTTAAAAACAGAGTATAAAATAAGCACTTCAGGGATTCTAACCACATCCCCTTCCTCTTCTATATAAAACTTGCCCTCAATTTTGAATCCATCATCAAACAAAAAAATTTGAATTTTTTCCCCTATTCTTGGCAAAGAAAATGCAATATAACCAAGAGTGATTGGTCATGGTTTAGGTCAGTGTTATTCACTAATTTTTGCAAGAGAGCCACTTCGGTTAAAAACATTGATTGAGAGAGCCGCAGCTACTGCAAGTTAGCGTAACTCAACTAAATTAAGTAGTACTGAGCTGCTAGTGCAATATAGTAAATGAGAAAAATTAGACATGGTAATATTAGCCTGCATATCTTGTTATTAATAGTGGCTTGCAAGCCGCTGGCGGCTCGTGAGCCACGCAATGAATACCACTGGTTTAGGCCATCCAAATAATTAAAGTAAACTGAGTAAAAACCCATAAAACACTGGGGAGAGTTGGGGGATGCTTTCCTTTCCTCAGGAAAATCCCAAAATATTGAATATTTCTACTTCTTTGAGGCCTGTTTCAAGTTAGTTCCAGTCTGAAACTGACTAAAATCATCTTTATTTTACTAGCATGTCTTCTGATCTATCAAATGACACCAAGAAACAGCCAATAGTGTGAAAACCAGTTAGAAAATGCTTCAATGTTGCTATTTCAACCCAACCAAAGTTTAGCTGTTCCAATCATGTACTGCATTGGGCAGGATATTTTTACACTGTACACACCCACTGCACAAACCCATTCCCTTACGTCAAGGTCAAAATTTACTATCACAACATATCTGAGGGGCGGCATGGTTTATCGCACAGATCTACGTAAGAGACACTGGCTTCAATGATGCAGATCTATGCGAAAAACATTGAAAGTGGAGGAGGGGTTGTTGATATGGTTTGTCCTATTAAAAAGGATTCAGCAGAACAGACTGGCAAATGGAATATAAATGGAGTGTGGTGGAAAGGAGACACAGAAGGTCATTCCAAGAAGGGTTGAAAGGAAAGGATGAGGAGGTGAGTCTCAGTGGTAGAGGCTTGAGCATCCAGTGTGTTAGACTGGAGTGAGTGAAAACAAGTGGTTTTCAAGGCTTGATGTGATGGTGGAATGTGAGCAATGCAATGTTTGTGAAGATATACAGCAAAACCAATTGCCAGATTTGAGTCCGGAAGGGGAAAAGTTTTTTTTTTTCCCCCGGGGGAAATGAGTCAGCTGAAATGTGATGTTCCATCCGGGCAAAAAAAAACTATTGAATGTGAGGTGAAGGGTTTTTTTTTTTTTTTTTTTTTTTTGGGGGGGGGGGGGCCCCCTATTGTAAGAGGGTCAAAAAATGGGAATAAAATAGAAAAAATAAGAACAGGGAAACCCTATGCCCTTCTTTTTAAAAAAAAATTTAATAAAAAAAGGGAAGTTCTATTTTTTTAAAATACTTATTAATTCCTTCCTTTTTAATTTTCCCTTACCCCGGAAAAAAAAAAAAAAAAAAGCTCCCTTCCCTCCACGACTACCACCCCATAGCCCCCCCTTCCATAGCCACCATTCCACGACCCCCCCGGGTACGTGTCCTCGCACATCTGCCTGTTCCCCAAAGTTTTTGTTTTGCAAAGAAAAAAAAATTAAAAAAATTTATTTGAATAAAAAAATAAAGTCCTTTAAACAAACTAATGGGGGGAGAAAAGGGGTGTTTATTTACCAAAAATTTGTTTCTTAACGTTTCAAAATTAAATGGTTGTAGTCCCTTTATCGATTTCCGGGCAAAAGCCCCAAAAAAAACAGACTTTTTCTGCGTACTGATGGCAGACCAGACATACAAGAAAAAAACAAAAACATGATTTATCTCTTCTCCCCCCTCTTTCCATCTCTCTTTCTCCCCCCCCTTTCCCCTTTCTCCCCCCCTTTTAATGGAAATATTTAAAGTGTTTCCTATCTTAAGGGCGCGGGGGCTGCTGGATTGCAAAAGGCCGGCTACTTATGGTTAATAGCAGGTTGGGTATCTGCCCGTTGCTTTCCTTGCTTTTCTTTGCTTCTTGTAAAAATTATTTTGTCTCTGACAAATAATTTGCAGATGGCACAAGAGGCTTTTTTTATTGCCACAATGAAAATGGACAGGTCCCAGATGAAGCTCAAACTGTATAAATTGTGATTAAAATAGGTTGGCATTTTATTGTTTTTATGACCGGACATGACATCCATTTTATTGCAGATTTTGGGCAGATTCTGGGCTATTTAACAGGGCACCCCTTAACGACCATTGAGCTTTTGTTGGCCTTTTTTTTTTTTTTTATCCCACTTTTGCTTTATGGGAGTCTGTTTTAAACGATTTTACTGTCCAATACAAATTAAACCAAATGCCTATTTTGTGAACTTTAAAAAGATGATGAGCAAATGTTATATGGACTAATCTGATAAAACGCTATTTCTAAATTAGTTGTACGTATATTTCCCAAAATTGCAATAACATGCTTGCAAACAAATCACCTGCCATGGATTCAAGCCCCAACCATTCCACAATTTAGTTGCATGTTATTACGTATTAGAAAAATAATTTACCTTTCTTTTCAATCATCTTTGTATCTAAAAAGTCAAAGAGTGAAGCTGGACCTGAAGGCCGAGGCATACTAGGCGGAGGTTCAAAGTCATCATCACTATCATCTGGTCCTCCTCCTCCTCTACCTCTCCCTCGACCTCTGCCTCGTCCTCGGCCACCCCGACCTCGCCGTACACCATAACCATCATCATCTTGATTGTAATTACTGCGGTCAGAGGGAGGTGGCTGACCACTAGCTGCCTGTGAATAAAGAAAGTACAATAAAAAAATAGACTGAACTGGTGAAACTGATAATTATTTAGGATGCTGAAGCTGCAATTCCTGAGAGATGGTCACAAAATTTGTAATGCAACAAGTGTTTCATTACCATGCTTTGACTATGTTAAATACTGAAAATTCATGAAGGATCAAACCACAAGTACATTTAACAAAGTGAGGTGAAAATTCAAACCAGCTGCTTCATGTAACAAAAAAGTTTCATTATAATGAGGAAGAAAATTACTAAATTACTTTCTGAAATCCTTTTCAATAGTAGTGTGTTCAGTTCACATATGAAGGATGAGCCAAGCAAGTAAATACAGTAGACCATCAATTAAGATGCAGTCTATTAGTACATTTTTACTATGCGATAGATGAAAAGTTACGACATTTTTTGATCAACACGAGGTGATGTTCATTTATGATGGTGTAAATTTAGGGAAAAACATGGAATGCCATAGGAGCTCTTCCCCTCTGCCTCATAGCCAGTCTGGGTCAGGACACTATCTTTATGGGAGAGGCCTAGTTGCACTTAATGCACACATCTTCTGATGCCTTAGTTCTCTTTGCATACACACCCCCATTCCATACTCAGTTCTGTGTTAATGAATCAATATTTTATCTTTTCAGCATTATATCTCTTGTCCAGAAAGTAACCATGGTACTCGAGAGGAATGCAAGTAATGCTGAAAGCAGCAAAAAGTTTAAGCATAAAAGTTTTGGCATTTTGAAAACATCAAGAGATTAAATAAGATTAAAAATGGTACATTATCACATTTTTGTCTTATAATTGGTGGAATGATGATGTAAAGAGAGTAGTAAGGGAGAAAAATTTAGCATATGAGAAGTTTTTACAAAGTAGAAGTGATGCAAGGAGGGAAGAGTATATGGAGAAAAAGAGAGAGGTTAAGAGAGTGGTGAAGCAATGTAAAAAGAGAGCAAATGAGAGAGTGGGTGAGATGTTATCAACAAATTTTGTTGAAAATAAGAAAAAGTTTTGGAGTGAGATTAACAAGTTAAGGCAGCCTAGAGAACAAATGGATTTGTCAGTTAAAAATAGGAGAGGAGAGTTATTAAATGGAGAGTTAGAGGTATTGGGAAGATGGAGGGAATATTTGAGGAATTGTTAAATGTTGATGAAGATAGGGAAGCTGTGATTTTGTGTATAGGGCAAGGAGGAATAACATCTTGTAGGAGTGAGGAAGAGCCAGTTGTGAGTGTGGGGGAAGTTCGTGAGGCAGTAGGTAAAATAAAGGGGGTAAGGCAGCCGGGATTGATGGGATAAAGACAGAAATGTTAAAAGCAGGTGGGGATATAGTTTTGGAGTGGTTGGTGCAATTATTTAATAAATGTATGGAAGAGGGTAAGGTACCTAGGGATTGGCAGAGAGCATAAATAGTTCCTTTGTATAAAGGCAAAGGGAACAAAAGAGAGTGCAAAAATTATAGGGGGATAAGTTTGTTGAGTGTACCTGGTAAAGTGTATGGTAGAGTTATTATTGAAAGAATTAAGAGTAAGACGGAGAATAGGATAGCAGATGAACAAGGAGGCTTTAGGAAAGGTAGGGGGTGTGCGGACCAGGTGTTTACAGTGAAACACATAAGTGAACAGTATTTAGATAAGGCTAAAGAGGTCTTTGTGGCATTTATGGATTTGGAAAAGGCATATGACAGGGCGGATAGGGGGGCAATGTGGCAGATGTTGCAGGTGTATGGTGTAGGAGGTAGGTTACTGAAAGCAGTGAAGAGTTTTTACGAGGATAGTGAGGCTCAAGTTAGAGTATGTAGGAAAGAGGGAAATTATTTCCCAGTAAAAGTAGGCCTTAGACAAGGATGTGTGATGTCACCATGGTTGTTTAATATATTTATAGATGGGGTTGTAAGAGAAGTAAATGCGAGGGTCTTGGCAAGAGGCGTGGAGTTAAAAGATAAAGAATCACACATAAAGTGGGAGTTGTCACAGTTGCTCTTTGCTGATGACACTGTGCTCTTTGGAGATTCTGAAGAGAAGTTGCAGAGATTGGTGGATGAATTTGGTAGGGTATGCAAAAGAAGAAAATTAAAAGTGAATACACGAAAGAGCAAGGTTATGAGGATAACAAAAAGATTAGGTGATGAAAGATTGGATATCAGATTGGAGGGAGAGAGTATGGAGGAGGTGAATGTATTCAGATATTTGGGAGTGGACATGTCAGCGGATGGTCTATGAAGATGAGGTGATCATGAATGATGAGGGGAAAAGGGTGAGTGGTGCACTTAGGAGTCTGTGGAGACAAAGAACTTTGTCCTTGGAGGCAAAGAGGGGAATGTATGAGAGTATAGTTTTACCAACGCTCTTATATGGGTGTGAAGCATGGGTGATGAATGTTGCAGCGAGGAGAAGGCTGGAGGCAGTGGAGATGTCATGTCTGAGGGCAATGTGTGGTGTGAATATAATGCAGAGAATTCATAGTTTGGAAGTTAGGAGGAGGTGCGGGATTACCAAAACTGTTGTCCAGAGGGCTGAGGAAGGGTTGTTGAGGTGGTTCGGACATGTAGAGAGAATGGAGCGGAACAGAATGACTTCAAGAGTGTATCAGTCTGTAGTGGAAGGAAGGCGGGGTAGGCGTCGGCCTAGGAAAGGTTGGAGGAAGGGGGTAAAGGAGGTTTTGTGTGCGAGGGGCTTGGACTTCCAGCAGGCATGCGTGAGTGTGTTTGATAGGAGTGAATGGAGACAAATGGTTTTTAAATACTTGACGTGCTGTTGGAGTGTGAGCAAAGTAACATTTATGAAGGGGTTCAGGGAAACCGGCAGGCCGGACTTGAGTCCTGGAGATGGGAAGTACAGTGCCTGCACTCTGAAGGAGGGGTGTTAATGTTGAAGTTTAAAAACTGTAGTGTAAAGCACCCTTCTGGCAAGACAGTGATGGAGTGAATGATGGTGAAAGTTTTTCTTTTTCGGGCCACCCTGCCTTGGTGGGAATCGGCCAGTGTGATAATAAATAAAATAAATAAATAATTTCAAGGCCTAAAAGAATATTTGTTTTCCATTTTTAGGTGCCTGAGGAACATAATCCTATTTTTCCGTATGTTCTTCAGTTCATTTTAGATAATTTTTTTTTTTGACTCCATTTTAAGAAATGCAACTAGTACCATCTTAATCGATAAATACGGTCATAGGTTTAAATGTACACTACAGGGAGTTCCATGTCTCTCATCCCACCAAGTGCACAGCATTACACAAAAAGAGCATAAAGACTTTTAAAATAACATGAAGATTTAATGCCTCAGCTGCCTAACCTGAGTGCAAAAGAATGGGTTAGAAGAAATAAATCTATTTTAATTATAATCACATAATGACCAAGTATAATTCTTTGGCAAATCCTCAACAGGAAATTAACAAAATCCTCAATAGACTGAGAATCCCAGAATATGAAGTGCATAACGAGATGACCTATATACTGTTAAGATCAACACATGCACAATAACATAGGAAAAGATATATAAAATAAGTGATCACATTCAACTAAGGAGTTCTTGTATCAGTGAACCCATAAAAACTGTAAATGTGAAAAGGTCATCAAGATATACTATGACTGTAAGAAACCAATCATCACATAGGCAAATTTAATAAGACTAAAATGGGCAATTAAAATGATGGTGACAACATTTAACGAATACCTATATTGAGGGATAAAAAAGAACTAAGAGTCATTACTTACAGCTTTAAGCTCCCTGATGGCTTTAACTGGATCATTTTTGCTACATCTTAGTGCCCATTCAGCAACTTCTTGGGAGAAGCCAGCATTGACAACTTTCTGCACATTTGCATCCAACATCTGCTTGCCACCTCCAAACACCTGAAATAAATACATTACAAGCATCACCTTTTACTTCATGACATGTACAAAAAAAATTCTTTTTTTTTTTTTCAACAAATCGGCCGTATCCCATTGAGACAGAGTGACCAAATAGAAAAACGAAAGTTTTTCTTTTTAAATTTAGTAATTAATGCAAGAGAAAGGGATACTAGCCCCTTGCTCCCAGCATTTTAGTTGCCTCTTACACCGTGAATGGCTTACGGAGGAAAAATTCTTTTCTACTTCCCCATGGAGATAAGAGGAAATAAAGACCAACAAGAACTATTTAGAAAATAGAAGAAAACTCAGATGGGTGTGTAAATATAGGTGCGTGTACGTGCATGTGTAGTGTGACCTAAGTGTAAAAAAACCAACCATACCCCGACCGGGATTGAACCCGCAGTCAGAGAGTCTTTGATCAAAACTCCAGCCCGTCGCGTTAGCCACTAGATTCGTCTGTAAAAACTTGCATTTGTGGTCACAGTGGTGCCTGTGCTAACCTTCGTATGGTGTAGAAATATACCTAGTTGGACGAATCTTATTGTGGCTAGCTGGTCTAGTGGCTAACGCGACGGGCTGGAGTTTTGAGACTCTCTGACCGCGGGTTCAATCCCGGCCGGGGTATGGTTTGTTTGCAATCGTGTCATTACGATTTCATGAGTCAGCGACCTAAGTGTAAGTAGAAGTACCAAGATACACCTGTTATCCTGCATGCTAATGAGACAGAAAAAAGACACCAGGAATCTTACCATCATGTAAAACAATTACAGGTGTTCATTTCACACTCACTTGGCAGGACAGTAGAATCACTAACTTTTAGCAAGATAAACTCTATTGTGAAAAATATCTCTATTTCTCTTTCTCTCTCTCAATATATCTTTCTTTCTTTCCTGATATCTATTTTTTTCTTTCAATTTCTCTCTAAATCTCTGTCTCTCATCCAACTGAAAAAATAGTTGATAGTGACTGCACCTCTGAAAGTGAGATGGGAAAGTTATTATTCAGTATTTCAACAGCAATGTCTGTGCCCTTCTGTAGAGGTAGCTAAAGTGCATGTGATGCTCAAAGTTGCCTTAATAAAAAAAAGACGTAAGTCAGAATTAAAAATGAACTCTTAAAATATCTTATTTACAAAAATTAAACAAGGTCAAAGAAATACTCTAATTATGAATACTCTATACACAAAAAACATGTTTATATTTTTAATCAATTAAATCACATATTACCTTTATATTTCCTTCTTTGGCTAGTTCTTTTACTGTTTGCTTTCTCTGCGTCTCAAATTCGTCATCCTGTTTGTCTTTACTATTGGAGTCTTTAAGGGCCTTGAACTTCCTCATCTCATGGGGATCCTTCATAATAAGTTTACCAAATGGCACCCAGAGAGGAGGACCAGAGCCATCAGCAGTGCGAACTCCCCGGCTAAATTTAGAAACACTCTGTAAAAAAGTCAGCAGTTGACAGTAGTACATATGACATGACAAATCAGATACTGAAAATGAGACACCGCAAATACAATTATGCTCCTGTAAACTATAAATGTGAAATTCTCTAAATATCATGCAAGCCTGGCCACTTGCAATTGTTTGATCATTCAGGGAGCATAAATGTGCATCTGAAACATTTAAAACATTCATCATTATTGGCTTAGGATCGTTATATATAATTTAATTTATCCATTGTCTTTAAACAAAAATTAAATTAAACAAAATGTTGTTAAGCAGAACAAGTTTGCACCTATAAAGCCCACAAGACAAGCAGGGGATGCATGCCAGTGGCTGAAGTTTAGGAGTGCCAAAAATAAAAAAAGCAACAATGATAAAAGACAAAAATCACTATCAATAAAAAAGCAAGTGAACAATTTAAAAAAGGAATACCACACAAAAAATTAAGGCAAATTTGATGAGAGATGAGGTTGTATTGTAAGAAATAAATAATAAAATTGTTAAAAAAAATTGTGTTTTTCTAAGTAAAAACAAGTGTATATAAAAATGGGATGAGAGAAGGTATAAGAGCAAAGATGGCTCCAGGAACCACAACATTTTGAGCAGGTCTTGTGTACAAACTCCGTCGTTTGAAGAAAATTATTAAAAGACAGTACAACTAGCCCTCCACTTTCGCAAGTTCTACTTTCATGAGCTTCAAACATTTGTGAATGCCCAGCCGAGTGGTGAGTGTTTTGTTCGTTCATTATTTGTTATTAAACTATAACATGTATATACAGTGGAATCTCGGTTTTCGTATGCCCCAGTTTTCATAGGATTCGGTTTTCAACGACTTTTTTCATTGAAATTTTGTCCCAGTTTTTGTACATCTGCTTAGTTTTTGCACAGTTGAAAATGGTCCATACCAAACACGTCCACGTAACTCAGCCACTCAAGCACCCACACAACGCATCCTATGCATTCGTGACTCAGTCTGCCTTGGTTTCTCGTTGAGTGAGCATCACCCTGCGCGTTTATCTGAAACATTTCATAATAATCCAGTGTTTTTTGTGTTTGTTTATTGAGTGTGACTGCTAAATAAGCAACCATGGGGGCCAAAGAAAGTTCCGAATGCTAGCCCTTTGAAAAAGAAAGTGAGAGACAAAAAAAATTCAAGAAAGATTTTTTGTGCAACAAGGGTACAGTGACTCTCAAGCTGGTCCTAGTGCCAGTAAAAGACAAAGAAGGGAAGTAACCCCTGATAGAGCCTTGATACCTGAAGTCCTTATGGAAGGGGATTCCCCTTCCAAACAATAACCTCTCCTCCCTCTCTTCTTCTCGCCATCTTCCATACACCAACAAGAGTCTTCAATAAAGGTAAAATTGATGTCAAATGTTCATTTATCCATTTCATTAGTCATTTATATTTATTTTTCAATGTTTTCTGTATGTAAAACTAGTTACTTTTCTCTATAAAATGTATTTTTTGCTAATATTTTTGAGTGTTTGGAACGGATTAATTGGATTTACATTATTTCTTATGGGAAAAATGCTTCAGTTTTCGTCAGACTTTTTAGAATGGATTAATCACAAAAACCGTTGTTCCACTGTACAATATTTTACGATGTTTTCATGTGTTTTATGACTGCTCATGGTTCAATAGGTTAAGGAAACAATATTGTTAGGCTAAGTAAATGCTATTATTATATTTCTCCTTTCTTTCAACATATTGGCCGTATTCCACCGAGGCAGGGTGGCCCAAAAGGAAAAACGAAAGTTTCTCCTTTTACATTTAGTAATATATACAGGAGAAGGGGTTACTAGCCCCTTGCTCCCGGCATTTTAGTCGCCTCTTACAACACGCATGATTTAATGAGGATGAATTCTGTTGCACTTCCCCATGGAGGTAAAAGGAAATAAACAAGAACAAGAACTAGAAAGAAAATAGCAGAAAACCCAGAGGGGTGTGTATATATGTGTAGTGTGACCTAAGTGTAAGTAGAAGTAGCAAGACGTACCTGAAATCTTGCAAGTGTACGAGACAGAAAAAAAAGACACCAGCAATCCTACCATCTTGCAAAACAATTACAGGCTTCCATTTTACACTCACTTGGCAGGACAGTAATACCTCCCTGGGCGGTTGCTGTCTACCAACCTACTACCTCGAATTATTATATTTCCCTACAATATATTTGCACATCAAAACATTCACAAATTTTCAAAATTCGCAAGGTTCTTGATCCCCCTAACCCTTGCGAATGTGGAGGGCCTCCTGTATATTGAAAGTGAATCAGATCATACACTGACAATATTATAGTAAAAGAAAAAGTCCAATGAAATGCTGTACAGTATAGTAAGGCCCCAAATTATGATATTAATGAATTCTTGAAAATTATCCATAAGAGTTTGAAACCTGGAACCTATTTTCTCACAAACATTTATGTTGTAAAAGGAGATGCATTCCTAAGCCATAATATTCCATATCCAATTTTGATTACTTTTTAACTAAGAATAGTTTTACATTCAGTACTGTTCCTTTTCACTTACAAACAGTATTAAATATTGTTTAATTAATAATTGTTAATTAGCCCTTTTAGTGGCCGTCACGTAGAACTACGTCACTGAGGACAGGGTCCCTCACACAGTTCTACTGCATGAGCTCAATTCACTCACTTATAAGCTGAGTTGTAAATTTTTCCTAGATATGAGAGAATGGGTCTGTGTAGTAAGTATGCACAGTATAAAAAAAATCCTATCCCACATGGTGCATGATTAGAAAAGCAAAACTCTGACCTTGTGTTTGGTTTCAAATAGCAACTTAGAGTGTTTTCTAGGATGATTCTTGTGGTTTTATTGGCTATTTCTTGGTATCATATGATAGAATAGAAGACATACTACTAAAAAGAGATAATTTCGGTTGCTTTGAAGACCCAAAGTAGCTTTAAATTGGGCTCAAAGTAGTGGAAATGTTTGATTTTTGCCAATTTTCCTGAGAATAGGTAAAGCCCCCTTACACCCTCAGTCTGTTTCACTGGTTTTTGACGGGTGTGGTTCAATTATTGGGACACCGTGAACCACGTCCAATCATTCCAGGTTATATTTTATTATCCGAGAAATAAAGTATATCTTCTATTTTTGTGTGATTATAAATGAATACAAAATGAAGAGCAAGTGTAATATGGGAGAGGCCTGGGGACATGATTAATAATCAGAGGATATGTTGTTTTAGTGCCAGGAATGTATACATTTTCTTTTTTTTTTTTGAACTTTTAAAATTGGTATTTTTTTAAATTTTTGTGTAAGATTGGCAAAATTACTGACTTCTGTGTACTTTATAGAATACAGTGGATCCCCGCCTTATGATATTAATCCGTTCCTGAGAGCTCATCGTAAGCCAAAATTATCGTTAGCCGAATTAATTTTCCCCATGAGAAATAATGGAAATCAAATTAATTCGTTCCTGACACCCCAAAGTATGAAAAAAAAAAAAAATTTACCACATGAAATAATAATTTTAATACACACAAACTGTAAAGATTACTAAAAAGAATAAGAAGAAGAAAAT